TCAAGTGAACTCCACATTCCCTGAATAATTTCCACTTTCTCGGAGACATGAGTCAAACTATAGGTAGACTTAGTTTTGCATTTTGTGGAATGTTTTATGTTTGTATAACATTTTATTCTCTAAGAAAGTATTTTAAGACTTTTGAGAGGGCATCGGCAGAGGCACACATTTCACCTCACAGAAATTTCTCTGTAAATCCAGAAGGATCAACTAGGCAGATGAAACTAAATCTCACCAAAAAGGTCTATTGCAAAACTGCTTCTCAGTGCATTTCTAGAAGCCCCCAAATAAAAGCTTATGTAGAAAACTTATGGACTTAGAAGCAACAAAGAGTAATGGAATCTCACAAGAGGAAGCAGAAGTATGTTGAAAATAAACTGCACAACTTGGGGGAGGGGAGGAGTTGAGGAGATGGTGAGGGAAGGGATGGTAGGGGGAAAACAAAGGAGGAGGCGACAATGCTCAACGTATTCACTACCTACAGTATCTTTACAATAAAAAAAAACCAGTTTTCACACAACAAGACTCAAATTCCCATGTGATCATTGACAGTGAAGCACCATTTTAAAGTAGAAATTAAAATTGTATGTTGTGAATGTTTCAGACTTATGCTATGTGTTGGTAAAATGATTTACCATGGCAAGAAAATAAGATAATGCAAGGTTTATTAAGCCATGGATACCACTAGAGAGAAGAGGGCATATGCCTATGATACACAGACATGGGAGAAATGAGAAAATGTTTTTACTGGGTAGAAGGGATTGTGCTGATTAGCTATTTCTCTTTCTCTGGGCACAATTGACTGACCACCTCTTTCTCATGGTTCAAATTGTGCAGGCCTAAGACAGCTTGAGAGCTTGATTTTCATATCTGCATTCCATCTGTGCAATTTGACAAGTTAGACTCTTCCTTTCTCCACCTGGCTCATCTTGGTGCACATTTAGCTCACCTATAATATACCAGAACCCTGATATTTCTCTGACCATCCTGTCTTCGTTTTTAATGTATATTTTTATTGTAAACATAATGTACAGAGAGAGGGTCTCATATCTAAAATATACTTAGAACTCAAAAAATTAAATCCCCTAACAACAAATCTCAAAGAAACAACTGCCTGACTTCTCTGAAGAGGAAATAAAAATGGCCAGTAGACACAGGAAGAAATGCACAGCTTCTCTAGCCATAAAAGTAATGCACATCAAAACAACATTGAGATTGCACCTCACCCCAGTTAGAATGGCTATAATCAAGAACTCTAATAACAGATGCTGGAGCGGATGTGGCCAAAATGCTACTGCAATATTGGTGGGCGTGTAAACTTGTTCAACCACTTTGGAGGTTCCTCAAAAGACTCCACATAGAGCTCCTCTATGACCCAGCAATCCCACTTTTGGGCATTTACCCAAACGATCACAAACAAGGCAAAACTAAAGCTACGAGCACAACTATGTTTATTGCAGCATTATTAACCATAGCTAAGATACAGAATCAACCCAGACACCCTGTCTTCTTAAATGAGGGTCTTCATGCTGCAGGGAGATCTACTGATTCTATCTCTGGGTGATTTCAAGGGTCTGGGGCAAGGATGAATTCTCAAAATTAGTAAGTCAAGATTCCTTCCCAGAAGAAATAGCCAGGAATAGAATACAGGAAAGGCATAAAAAGAGTCAGGACTAAAAATCCAGATTATGGGGAAGGGAACCACTGCCAGATGAACAGAGAGAGAGAGAGAAAAAGAGAGAAAGACAGAGACAGAGACAGAGAGACAGAGACAAAGACAGAGACAGACAGAAAGAGAGAGAGACACATACACAAAGAGACAGAGATACTATCCAATCTAGTCTCCTGACTTGAAGTCTCTCTCACTTAAGAAATAACCCTTTGTATCCATCTGTCCAAAATTTATTTTCCTTTACTGAGCCCTCCATGTCTCCAAGAGGGCAAACAGTCTTTTCTGTCTTATCCTATAATAAACAATTGAAGTTTTCTGTATCTATACAAACAAAATATTCCCTCATCCAAACCCTTTTCCTTAATGATTTTATTAAAACAGATAAAACAGTTTTATTCCAGTAGTTTGTCATCTTCAACCATGTCTTAATCTTCTATTCACTCATCCTCTTAGGCAAACATGTGCTCTATGGTTGTCTTTAGATCTCTCTCTGCTACCTAATATTTTAAAACTTCATTTTCCTTTTATAGGTATGATTCTGAATTTGTAATAATTTTATTGCAACCTCTCTCTGTCTCTCTGTGTTCATCTTATACTTACATTGATAACTCCTGAGGCGTTTTCCTAGCACCTAAATAATGGCATTCTCCAAGTTATTTTGAGAAAGTGAGAGGGAGAAAGCAAAGCGAGATGTGATCGTACTCTCTCACACATCTTAGAGGTGAGAGAGTGGAGAGACCTTCACAGGAAACCATCATTCATCCCATCAGAACTCAATAATTGAATCTACACTGACTCCACACTGAATCTTTCCAGCAACTGCACATGGGAACGGGAACCTTCCATTCCACCAAAAGCCTACTCTGCTTGCATAGCTACCTTTTTCAGAATGCATTTCTTCTCAATCAACAAGAAATAAAGCTGGAACTGGTTTTAATTCCCTTTTATCTGTAATGTCTGATCAAACAGTAAGTTGTGTGTGCTCCCAGCCTGAGTAGCTTCTCACTTCAGTTTCATACTTGTTTGGCGTTGCTATTGCAAAATGATTAAATACCCTCATGATCTCTCAAAGTATGTAAGTCAGATTTAATATTAAAATAATTATATAAGATATTATTTAAATGATAAAAATCATATCAAAATTCTAACATGGTTCAAGTATCCCATTCATTTTTAATACTTAGAATTAAATGCCCCGTGTTATTCAATATCATTTTAAGCTAAAACCCGTTTCATTCTGCTAATGATAATGCCGCTATATTAGACTTGTATTAACTCTTCCACAAACAGTGATTAAAGTATGAGGAAAAAAATCTTAAATGTAACTATTTCAATGCACCGAAGATAAGTTAAGAATGTCTGAAGTGTTTTTCAGGGGGAGAACTCCCGTCTCCCAATTCTGTGGAGAGGAATGACTAGAACTCAAGGAGAAAGTTAAGTACTTACTGCCTGGGAAAGGAAAGAGAACAAAGACTTACAGGTCAGATCAGCTGAAAAATAAGGGGAGATATCTAAACATAGATGTAGGCACCCCGAAGTCTGTCTGTATATAGGTTATTTCCTAAATACTCGGCTATATTTAATTATACATGCAAGCACGACACTAGAGACACAGCTTTGAAAGCTAAAGATTGGCTACTGTTGTGAGAGACTTTTGAGTATGACTCAAGCCAAGTAAAATCAACACGCTTCAAAATACAATATAAACTAGCAGTTTGAAAATACATAATTTATAATATCTAAGTACAATGCTCACAATAGGATTTAATATACACAAAATCTATGACAGAAACATTCTTAATGCTAGCCTTTTCTATGATATTATTTTCATTCTTTCTTTGAAATGATTCAGTCAGTTCATTGTGATGCATTTGCTTGACTTTAACCTACCAGAGGGATGCTATATTAATATTTAAAATAAGCCAATGAAAAATACTCCCTGTAAGGATAGTTACCAGCTGAAGTGCCCTATTCAGATGTGTTCTCTAAAGGTATATGTATATATGTATATATATATATATATATATACATATATACATATATATTTCAATATTGCTGATTATGTTTGCATCTGAATGTTAACTAGTACAACAAATATCAGAAATGATTTTTGGTGGTAAATGATTATTTTTACATGTGGTTGTTAGCCATACTTGGCAGTCACTATGCTCTTTTATTGGTGGGTATGTACATCTACTTAGGTATGAAATACAGTTCTCTATTTTAATCAGAACATATGAATGTTGGATGCTACCTTCTAACTTAAATGAAAATTAACATTCCTGAGATCTGAATATTACTTTATATGTTTCATATACTGCATTGTGATACAAAGTGCTTCCAAGTGTGTATAAAATCAACAAGAGTTGAGAGTTCATCCAGGTGTTTTTGTTTTTGTTTTTTGTTGTTCTTGTTGTTGGTGGTCATTGTTGTTTTTGGTCATGGGGCTTGAACTCTGGGCCTGAGCGCTGTCCCTCAGCTCTTCAGCTCAAGGCTAGTGTTCTTCCACTTGAGCTACAACAACATTTCTGGTTTTCTCGTGATTTCTTAGAGATAAAAGTTTCACGGACTTTCTTCCCCAGGCTGTCTTTGAACCGCGATCCTCAGATCTCAGCCTCCTGAGTAGCTAGGATTACAGGCGTGAGCCACCGGCACCCGGAACTTATCCAGGTTTTAAGACTAGTTTCGAGTGCTAACCTTGAATCTACTTCTCAAACATACATAGCATAATTCAGGTGGAATTTGCATCCATTACCTTATAATACCATATTGTTTAGTGGTAAAGTCTTAGAGAAAGAAGTATACAGATTTATCCTACACATATCTGTCTTTAATAAATTAAAAATCCTTCCTTTGTCTGTGATCCTACCTCACAATAGGTCAGCACAATTATAGTATCAATTTTTTGCATGTTCTTTGTTTAAATATTACATGTGTCATTTTATTTATAACAATTTTATGTAATATGTATATATGTATATATTTACCTATTTGTCTTTGTAAGCACATATTGCAGGTTACATAGATGGTAATAAAATAGTAAAAACACAATATATAAAACATTGTAATGTTAAAAAATGCTTTTAGATGGAAAGATTATGCAAGTAAGATCATTTTGTGAATAAGTATGTAGAAATGTACTCAGTTTTCAGATTTAGAGCTGTGAAAAGTTTTAAAGGTCCCAAGAGATCAGCTTATCACAAGCAAACTAAATCAGTACATCAAAAATGCTTTCTTCTTTCTTCAGAAGAAATGCCCCACTTTCTTGTCCTGTAAAAGATAGTCCAAGCATCAATTTTCTTCATAGTAGTGCATGGACCTGTCTTACCTGCAAATGGTTCCTAACTCTGATGAAGGTACAAAGTGGATCAAAAGCTCCTGTACCACAGGTGAGAAGATGTGTCCTGTTGTAGTGATGCAAAACCCGGACATAGTTTACACATTCACTCTAAAGCAGGATCCAAATAAAAGGGACTCATTAGCACATAACAAGATACAGCCACACCACTCTCTTTATACTTTCCCTAATTCTAGAAAGCTTGCTTTTCACTGTAAGTTTTCTGTTAGAGGAACATGAGCAGTGAAAGAAGAGGAAATAGGGATCTAGGGAAGAAGAAATCGAGGTGACTCATTCATGTACTTTAGTTAGCAGGGAAGTGTACTTCACATTTTATAATGGAAGTAATAATGTCTTGCATTTTTGATCAAAATTAAACATTTTAAATGTTCAGGAATATATTCAAGCATAAAGATTTTCAGGACAAAATCTTCATTTATGCAATTAAATTGTTCCCAATACTGTTATTTTTTTAAACTCAGAATAAAAAATGAATAGGCATTAAATAAAAAAATGAATATATAGGAAAAAAGGTTATTTTTTTCTAATTATAATTTGAATTTCTTTTTTTTATTGTGAAAATAGCGTATAGAGGGGTTACAATTACATGGACAAGATGATGAATACATTTCTTATCAAGCATTGTTGCCTCCTCCTTTGTTTCCCCTTCCCATCCCTTCCTATGTCTCCTCGCCCCCCCCCCCCCGTGTGTCCCTACCACTCCCTCCCGCCTCCCCGCCCCCCCAAAGTTGTAAAGTTTGTTTTCGACATAACGACTTATACATTTCATTGTTGCAATGTGTCCACCTGTATCCCTATTTAAACGATTTGTTTTTCCCCTTCCCCTCCACAAATTATATGAACATCAAATACAGTGAGAGCAGGGGTTATACCACTGGGGAGGGACATAAAAAGCAACAAAGAAATCATCTTATAAATATGTTAGAAACAATCGCATGAAAGCAAAAACATTTGAATACTTATCTTGGGGTTCATTTCACCTAACATCAACTTATCTGACTGTTTTGCTTGTCTCAGACATATACTAGTTATTGCAAATAAGGGAAACCATGGGACCTATGTTTCTTTAGGCCTGGCTTACTTCATTTAATATAATTTTTTCCAAGTCTTTCCATTTCCTAACAAATAGGAAAAAAGTTTTTTATTCACAAAGAAACAGATGCAGAACATAGGTTATTACAAAAATTTGACATTGGAGAAAGTAAAACAGCTTCAAAAGCACAAATTCACATAAACCACTTTAAAAAAAAATCAAATAAATAGAAAAATCTAAATAGGAATAACATCTTACTGTAATGTTATGGTGAATTTGTTAGTTTTGTAAGATTTCAGTCGCAGGATCAACATTTTTTTATAAAGCATTGTATTGTATTGTATAGGAATTTACTTTGTGGGCTATATGGCCTCTTTTGCAGGTTCTCATCTCTGTCTGGTGCAAAGATGACAAAACAGTAAATGTGTGTGCCTGTTACTCAATAAAATTCCATTTATAAAATAAGTCAGGTTTGTTTGGTTTTACTTGGAAGGATTTTGAAGACAGTATTATTCTTTTAAACATTGTTGTAGTCTGCCTATTAATCAAACAAAGTTTATAATATACAATACATGCTGGACCATGTTTAAATAAAGTCACCAGGTTAGTTTTAATTTTAAAATGTTTAAAATTGCTTCAAAATCAACCAGGTCAAATTAATTCTAGCAAATGCCCTCTACAAGTTAGGCATTGTTCTTTTCAGCAAAAATAAATTATGAAGTAATTAATAAACTTTTAACCATATCACTTAGATATTAACAATGCAATATTAAGCCAATTGTTAAGTTGTAAAAGCGGAGATTGAGAGATTCTGTGTCTAAGGTCTCTCATGTTAGGATGGTCCAGCAGATCCTCTGTGCCATGAGTAATTCATAGGCTATCTTGCCATTGTCAAGAATGAACAATGATTTACTGAGTCAATTATCCAGGACATCCAGATATATTTATTCAGTTTCCTCTTCCTGTAACATTTGGTTGGATGAACCATATAGCATTGCTAGAATCAGATAGTCCAGATATGGTGGAAATATTAGCTCTCACATTGTTGTAAACAATTGCCTTCCTTCGGGTGATATACTGTTATATCTTCAGTGAACCAATTAGACCTCATTTTGGCTTAGTTGACATGGCCTAAGAGTATGTTCAATTAGTCAGCATCATGCTGTGGGCTAAGGCAGTAAGAATGTGTTGACTCATTCCTTGGCAGTCACCCAATTGCTCCAGAGAATAAGGGATTGATATGATGCATGTTACTTATTTACATGGTGGTTTTTTTTTTTTCCTGAGTGTGAAAAGGGATAAGTTCATTTTCAAGCTATGTGTTATATCAGATCAGCCAGCTACTCCTAGCATGTGATTTTCTCCACACATGTCTCAATGTGTCAGGAATAGTGCTGAGCATGGCATTTTTCTATCCAGACCCTTCTTGAAAACTACACAGAAATGAGATATTGCTTCTTATATAAGTAAAGATCCTGGAAACACTGTGAAAGCCATAATCCATGTTCATTTCCTTTGCCTCCTCAAACTTTATTCTGTCTCTCATTGTTTCTTCATTTTTTTCTAACTTATTAATCGAAGTAAAATGAAATATAAAGAATGTACCTCGCTTTTCCTCAAATTTAAAAAAATAAACAAAAAACAAAACAAAAAAATCTACTATCATTTTTCTCCAAATACATAAGAAATCAAATTACTGAAAGGAAGTTATAAATCTCAGTTGAAGAAAATACAATAAAAGCCAGATCTGACTAGCACCTTGGGTTCCTCCAATTCTACATTGAAATTATTGTCAACAATCAGACACTCATTGTATGTATACATTTACATTATTACATTACATTATTTTTTACATTATTTTCTTCATGAACAAAAGTGTCTATGTGCTTCTGAAACTTACATGAAATGAAACTTTCATGATTTCCTACTTTGAGGTTCACCAGGAATATAATTTGAGGATTTGTTTAATTTACATTAAATAGTACTTACTGCATCTTTTCCTTTCATTATGCATTCTTCCATTTTTACTGCTGTAGTAGGCCAATGTATCTGAAATGGAAGATAATAGGCTATTATTGCAACTGCACATAAAAATAAACCACACTGACAAATATTTCATTGTCTTCTGCAATTCGATGCATTTCCTCTTGGTTCTATTTCTGAAAAGTTAAAACAAGACTTTATCTTCACAAAATTATTTGCATAATTAAGAAACTTGTCTTAAGTTTTTGGATTTTTCCCCCTAATCTAAGTCCCCTAAATCTCTCTTCAAGTCTCAGTAAAGGAGAGGCCAGCTATTAAGCCAACTCTTGTATTTGACCTGTCATAACCTCTGCCTTCCAGTGTCCATGCAAAGTAGGCAACCTCCTGGAGTTTCGTTTACATTCCTACCACCAACCACAGAAACCTGTATGTGGTGAGAACTCAGTAATGTTTGCCGGGTGAGCAGGTTAAAGTATGAATAGCTTTGTAAATGCTGATGAATATTGGAACCACCAGTAATGTACTACACTACAGCTTTGTCATTTAAAACATTATTAAACAGCTAGTTTCTAAGTTTTCATTACATTCTAACTATTTTGGCTTTGTTAAAGAGAGAACACATACCAAGTACTTCTTATTTATCCTCCAACAGTACCTCCTAGCAGTTTGTTAAGACCACACGTAGAAATCATTAAGTTCTTATTTCACTAACTTTTGACTACAGTAGTTATTTTTAAAGAAATTATTTTCTAGCACCGTCTTTTATCAGACTGTTGTGTTCCGCCCACCCTGCTTTTTTCTTAGACTACAGGATCACATTATGTGCCAGACATTTTTTTTATGCTTTTTGTCTCATAAAATGCTTGCCCAGAAGTTTGAGATTTTTATACTCATGGTTCCTTGTCCTCTCTGATCTTAAAGTACTCTTCCTTATTTAAATCATTTATCTTTTCCTTCTCTATTCACTTAAACCCCTCCATATTATTGCTACTATATTTGGTTATAGCACTTTTCTGTTCATATAAATTCTTTATAAAGAATATACTATATTGTTCCATGCATATTGATGTAATTGTGTGTGTGTGTGTGTGTGTGTGTGTGTGTGTGTGTGAATGTGCCCTCATTGGCCCTGGGGCATGAACTCAGAGCCTAGGGGTTGACCTCAAGCTTTTATGCTCTACCACTGTGTGTTCCCTTAGCCTATTATATCTCCTCTCACTGTACCTGTCACAAAACCATTTTCTTTTAGTCTGAAAAAAATGTTCTGGGTATCTAATTAATATGAGATGTTGCTTGCTCAAAGGAAGTATTTTTAATTCAGGTAGAAAACAGTTGAGCCATTTTTAAAGTTTGGTCAACATTCAACAATGAGAAATCCACATTTCTGGTTTATCTAAAGATGATAAAGCCTATATCTATAGATGATAAAGCCTAAGTATTGGCATGAATGTGAGACAATGTTCCTCTGGAGTTAACATGTGATGTCATCATTCAATAGGGAAATTATGCACTGGCTGATTTCAGCCTTTACTTTTACCCAACTGGGCTTGTATGCATTTTCATTTGTGAGATCTGTTGTGTATTTGTAAATTCCAAATATATTCAAGATTAAATATATATAAATATATGTATGTAAACATATATACATATATATATCCTATATAAACCCAGGCAAAACAATTATATTCCAGAAATAAAATAAAAGAGGTGCATTGCTTAATTCTACATTGTGTAGAAAATCCAGATCCTGATAAATGATAAATACAGGAAAATTATAAAAGTGATGACAATAGTACTTACAATCATCTTTGTATGATCTGATTTATTAACATTGAAATAAGCACTGTATGCTTTGATTATAATTAGAGCATTAACTCCCTAAGACGTTCCTACTAACAAAGTCAGGATCAGGTATTCTGTTGTTGCTTTTCTTTTTTTGTGTTTTTGTTTTTGTTTTTATTGGCCGGTCTTGGGGCTTGAACTCAGGGCTTGGGGGCTGTCTCTGAGCCTCTCTGTGTTCAAGGCTATAACTCTACCACTTGAGCCACAGCACCACTTCCGGCTTTTTCTGTTCATGTGATACTGAGGAATCAAACCCAGGGCTTCATGCACTCTACCACTAAGCCACATTTCCAGCCCAGGATCAGGATTCTTTAACTTCCACCGTGTACTATATAAATTTTAAATGAAAGCATGTGAGTTTTTGATATTCCAACATGAGAATAAAAGACTAAAAAGGTGTAGATGTAAAATAAAACCTATTATAATTACTAAAACCTACATACCAATCTTCAAATAGATTTTAGCAATGATTCCATCTATGGTTAAAGAAAGATCACACATAAATATTTTATAGTATATAAAGTTCAGTTGCAGACTTACTTGAGTCTGAAGGAGTTACCAACCTTATTATGTGGTATGAATCCTGGAAGTCAAGTACAGAGAGTAAAAGTTTTACCTCATTTAATCTTTGGGGGGGGGAAATCATTGCATGGAAGGGTAGGTTTCCTCTGATGGTTTCTAAGACCCATTCTACCTGGAGATTAAAATTTGGGGATTTTCTGTGGATCATATGTACATGTGTACATGAATTTCAAATATATATATATATATATATATATATATATATATTGTACATGCATTCATAAAAGAAAATGTAAACTCATTTTGGGATCACTTGTCACTGGAACTACTTTCTTTTTTTATTGTGAAAATACTGTACAAAGGGGTTACAATTACATGGGCAAGATAATGAGTACATTTCTTATCAAGCATTGTAGCCTCCTCCTTTGTTTCCCCTTCCCATCCTGGAAATACTTTTATGACTAAATTACTTATCAATATGTATAAATTATAGGACACCTCACTCCTAATTCAGAATAAGGTATTATTTCTATGAAATGCAATGATTTTCTGCTTTTTAATAGCAGAATCACTTTTCACCCATTTTCTCTTCATTATTGCAAAGATAACTTCCTTAAATTGTGTTTCCAGATCACAATATCTTATATTCTCTTAAATCATTGTTTCATTATATCTATTGCCAGGATTAGGCAAACATACTTTTTGAAGGTAATTCTTAAAACCCTTCTATACTTTTTTTGATAGTTTTTTTTTCATATTATATTTCCCAGTAACCTGGAAAGATGAGAAATACAACCTCTATGCAGGATAAATGGAGGACCAGGAATTTGGCTCAGTGGTTCTATACTTGGCTATTATCCATAAGGTCCCAGGTTCAACCTCCTAGTTCTACAAACCAAAACAAGATCAACAAGAAGAACTAACAACAACAACAGTAAATGGAAACCAATTTTTCCTGATCATGATAATACAGGCATTGTTCACCCTCTGGTCAAAGGTGGGGCACATTTCCTGGCAGCCTCCTAGTAAGACTCAGAGTTTTCGTAGAGGTCTCTCAAATGGACCAAATATCCACTATATGTGCAGCTTTTACTGCTATGCATTGCTTGCTGAGGGACTGAAGGGCAAGGAAAGTGCTGGAAACATGAGGCTCTGGCTGCCTGCTGTGTCCCAGTAATAAGAGACCTTTGTCTCTGACCCTTGAGTTCTATGTTTTTTGACACCATCCATGAAACTGTGAAAAGCTAATTGTGTTCAATATGAGGAACGCTCCCAGACCCCTCACAGCTTCAAACAAACAAAAGATAATATGTGACAAAGATGACGTTCAGAATATACATTGATCCAAGCAGCAACCATAATGATAGCAATTGCTCTACAAATGATGAAACTATTCTTTAAGACACATTTTACAAAGTGTTTCAAACGAAACCTTTCCTGGTGTCTTTACAACATTGTGTTTCTCTCTCTATTTATCCCCTGTAGTGTTTTTCATTTCTCTAGGAGTCTAATGATTTGTGCATTTAGTGTTAGCTCTGTTATTGGACTATAAATTGCAGAAAGCAAGGCAGTGCTCTGTATATTTTTGTATACATAGCAATGTTTGTCTGAACAATACATCAAACACAGTCTCTGTTTTTGCCATGTTTGATGATTGCCTTGTATCAATCAACACATTTGTATCACAGGCTCTCTAAGGTCAATTCATTAGAAGAGCTCACAGTCCAGTTTGAGAGTAAGATTTAGTGGCATGGAAATGTAATAAGTACCAAATGAGTAAGTAACATTTTCCAGTTAAATCAGGAAAGAAGGAAGATTGGAAGTTGGCAGTAATTTTTTCAAAGACCAGTAGGATCTTTGAAGGGAGACAAAAAGATGTTGAGTAGGTTTCACTGAGGAAATAGAAGGGGGAGAAAGGAAAATACTAGATTATGAGCACACAACAGAGCAAAATCCAATATATGGGAAAATGTTATTAAAATGTTGTTGTTGGTGTTAAGTTTGGTTTGGACTCTTTGGTTGGCATTGTTAGAAAAGTTTTACAGGCTCAGGACTGCTTTCAAAAGCTAACTGAGGTGACAAAACATGACAAAGAGACCTCACTGGAAGTGGAAAGTTACTTTTTTACAGTCGTCATGTTCTGCCAACCCCGGAGAGGAAATGATCTCTCTCATTTGTTTTGGCAGTCAGGGTGCCTTTGGTTCTGCTCCAGTTTAGCATCCACAAAAATCCATAAGATTAGGCTATTTGTTTTGCACAAAATATTTTTAAAGGCAGTTAAACAACAGGGTGTACTAGTATTTTCAAACTATCTACCAAAAATGGTTCAAAACACAAAAGGTTAAATACACACCATTTCATCACAATATCCCACAATGTAATTTAATTGTTTCACTGCACATTAACAAGCCATTTTCTATCCATTTTCTTCTCCTTCAAGGAGAAAAATAAGATAAAATATAAATTAGATTACAGTAATATTTTTGGACTTCCTGTTGAGTTGCATAATTATAGCAGAATTAAGGATTTAATATCTTATTGTTGCAACATCTTTCAACACTCGGAAAATAATAAAGAAAGAATAATCTAACAATCTAGAAAACTTCCCTTATCATTAAAAATAAATAAAATGACTCAGTTTATATAATCTATGCTCACAGAGTATATTAAGCAATAAAGGCTTTATTGTAAGAGCATCACTT